TTCTTATAAAATCAATATTTTTAGGGGTATTTGCACCTCAAATAACTATTTCCTGCGCAAATTGGTGCAAAATTCTAGGAAAGATTCTAGATCTATACTTATTTTACTGCCGAAAAATTATAAAAACATGTGGCAGCACGCGATCTTTTAGGTGTTTTTAATCACTAAAAAACTCCTGCAAATGTCTATTTTTTGAATATATGTTTTAATTTTAAGAGATAGCATGTTACAGTGTTCAGCAAAAATATGTATTTTCTGTACGGCTAACAACTTTGTAGAATATGTTAAATATATTCAAAATCTACGAAAAAAAGTTACACTCAAAACAATTATTTGAAGGAGTATTAAATTTTACTTTATCTTGAGTAAACAAATGTATGCGTTTTATTGGTAGTAAGCTGTCAAATTCTATAAGAGTAGAAACGGAAGAGGTGAACTGCAGCAAACCGTTGAAAAATGGTGAAATCATCAACTTCAGGTAGGCGTATGTGATTATTTCAAGAACCGGAATGCAAAGAAGTGATTTCCTTTTGTTAAATTAATATGCTGATAATAATGTTTTGGTTGCCTCTTGTTCTTTACCATGGAATTTGATAAACTTGGTCTCTTCTCGCTTTGAATTGAAGGGCATGCCAACGGTGAAATTTCAAAATGTTCACAAGCACGTTATCGAAGTGTACGCAATCAATTCCGATGTCTCTGGTAGTTCCTTGTAAAATATATAAAAAAAACATGCTGGAAATCTTTGTATCTACTTGAAAAAATAAAAATGGAATGCACATGGACGCTCAAAGCAGGGGGTTTTAGGACGTTGCTCCGAATACTTCAAAAAACCTTTCAAATGTTTTATCAGCTCCGATAGATGTAAGCATCGGTCGAAGAGCAGTTCCTTTCGAAGATTGCAATGCAACGAAAAGGAAATAATCAGCTTGTATTAGAAATCGATACCAACCGAATCAGCTGGCATTTGCAACGCAAATAAAGCTTCGAGAGGCAAAGCAAAAGGATGCGACAGAAATAATTAAAAAAAGTTACTCAAATAAAACCTTCACGAGCAACCAGAATCAGCGATTCTTGGAAAAAATCAGAGAGTATACTCCTTCAAATCATTGTTTTAAGTATAACTTTTTTCCTAGATTTTCGATATTTGTACAAAGTTGTTTGCCGTACAAAAATACATATTTTTGCTGAACATTGTAACATGCTATCTCTTAAAATTAAAATATATATTAAAAAATTAGACATTTGCAGGAGTTTTTTAGTTATTAAAAACACCTAAAAGATCGCGTGCTGCCACATGTTTTTATAACTCTTCGGCAGTAAACTAAGTAAAGATTCTGAATCCTTCCTAAAATTTTGCGCCAATTTGCGCCAGAAATAGTTATTTGAGGAGCAAATACCCCTAAAAATATCGATTATTTAAGAATAACTTTTTTGTTTCAAGAGATAACTAAAGGGCGAACACGAAATTATTGCGACACCGAAAATGTCATGCCAATTTTCTTATAATGTTTAGAATCAAACCAAAATTTTAGGGTAGTTTTATACATATATTTACTTCAAAAATCAAAAGAAAAGTTAATCGATGGAGCCTTGAGTGTAAAATTGAACGCATTTTCGCTTGATGCCCTCCATCAAAGTCTTTACAGTGTCATCCGGTACTAGTTTCTCAGTTTTTTTTCCATTTTCTTAACATGTCCTTCTCGTCTTTGACTGTCTTCTTGCTCTTCCGAAGTTCCCGCTTCATTATTGCCCAATACTGCTCCACCGGGCACAGCTCCGGACAGTTTGGCGGATTCATGTCCTTTGGAACAAAATGGACAGAATTGGCCTCATACCACTCCAGGACACTTTTAGAATAGAGGCATGATGCCAAATCTGGCCAAAATAGCGGAGCTTTGTCGTGCTGCTGCAAGAACGGCAAAAGGCGCTTCTCGAGGCACTCAGATTTGTAGATCTCGCCATTTACTGTGCCCTTTGTCACGAAAGGCTCACTCCTCAGTCCGCAAGAGCAGATGGCCTGCCAAATGAGATATTTGGAGGCGAACTTCGACATTTTCTTTTTCTTTAATTTGTCGTCCACATCGAACTTGCTCTTGCCGGTGAAAAACTCCAACCCCGGAATTTGCTTAAAATCGGCTTTTATATACGTTTCGTCGTCCATCACACAGCAGCCATATTTTGTCAGCATCTTCTCGTAGAGCTTCCGAGCCCGAGTTTTAGCCGTCGATTGTTGCCACTCATCGCGGTTTTTGAAGTTCTGTACCTTGTATGTATGTAGTCCAGCTCTCTTCTTTGCATTCTGGACGTAGCTCTGCGACATGCCGATCTTTTTAGCCAAATCACGGCTTGAGCCGTTGGGATTTGTTTTAATCATCCGCTTCACCTTTCCCTCCGTCTTTTTGTTCTACGGTCCCGGTTTTCTTCCAGCTCCTTTGCCGTGGTCCTACGTCAACCGCTCCTGGAACCGCTTCAACACTCTGGAGACGGTTGAATGGTGAATGTTCAACATTTTTCCCAACTGCCGGTGCGACAGGTCAGGAAATTCCAGGTGTTTGGAAAGAATTTGTTCTCTCAACTCGCGTTGGTTCACTTCCTTTTTCGTTGAATCGAAAAACACGACTTCGAGTTTGACAGCATGTACACAATACACATCAATGAGAAAGTGTGCAAAATTTGGTTGATTTTTACCCAATGGTAAAAAAGTTATGTCCTGTTGAATGTGTCGCAATAATTTCGTGTTCGCCCTTTAGTTACAATGTTCAGCAAAAGCATGTGTTTAAACATGCAAAATATAGTTGTACAAGGAACCAAAATTGTAGGATGCCTAAAAAATCAGTTATACTAAAAAAAACCTGATGTAAAGGGGCCTTTCACGAAAAATTATACATATCTCGCAATTTATAAGAGCTAGAAATTTTGGGTGTTCAGCAAAGTTGCTTAAAACAACATTTGCTACAACTTTATTGAAAACGTTAAGTATCTATCTGAATCAGATAAAAAAAATAATTTTTTGATCACACTTTTAGGTAGATTAATCAACAAACCGTCTACATCAAAAGAAGCGGATTAACATATGCAAAAACATCTTTAAACAAACTATACCCCTAAAATCAATGTTTGAGAAGCTATTAAAAAAGCGCACGAAAACGGCAAAAAGCAACACTGTGCAATAGAAGTATTTCACAACGTAATCCAGTGATGAATGTATATAACGTTTCAGTGTTAAATACTCGTATGAAGAGTGAATATTTCATTTTCTGGGCTATTATAGATGCATTCAGTGGAAACTTATAATTTTTGCGTGTATTTTGAAAATTTTAATATAAAAGGATCACGCTAATGAAATATAATTGAACCACCCTAGCCCAGTGGCACCGGTGGTGTAGCGGTAGGGCGTAATTGACTCAAATCGCAGAACACCAAAGTTCAATCCCAGTCGGTGCCGCCGGGATTTTGTGAGGCATAAGATCTCTGATCAGGAAGTAAAGCCGTTGATCCCCAGCCCCAGTACAGAAAACAATATCGACGGAAAACAAATTAAGGTAAAAAATACCGTAGTGAAGCAGCAAGATGCAAGTGGTGGTTTAAAATTATATACAAGTAGATTGGAGATAGTTGTGAACAGTTTTAGAATCCAATTCATCAATGTTCCATACAGGCTTGCAATTGCTCATTACAGCTAAAATCCTATTTTTCGGAATGATGGAACTATGAGATACTTTAATGATAATTTTTATTTGCAAGAAGCAAGCATGGGTGGTAAAGTTTGTGTATGACATACACAATTTATCAATTTTGCTTTCAGAAGGTCACAACTAGCGATTTTATGATCTCTAATTGCTCGCTCATTGCGTTGCTCATCGTTACAGCTAATCACTATTGTGGTCCTCTGAAAACTAAATTAACAAGTTTTATGTATCTTATAAATACTTTACCTTCTCTTCATGCATCTTGCCAATAAGAATTATCATTAAAATATTTCATAGCTTCATAAATCCGAAAAATAGCAGTTTAGCTGTAATGAGCATTTGCCAGCTTGGTTCCATATACGTATCCCAGTCACGAAAAAAAAATCCCAGAAAGTCGATTCCTGGCAAAAACAAATCGAGATAGCATCAGCCCTCGACGTTTCATGTATCTTTGATATCTTATTATATTCAGAAAATTCCACAATTATATGGGAAACCTAGAAAACAATCTCCTTTTGTCTCTCATATGTACAAGGTAGAATTCTCACTAATCAAACAGTTTAATTTTTCTTAATTGACCAATTAACAGTGTGACTTTGCTGGGATGATGTGCAGCAGATTCGGGTAAATTTGATGGTTGTGTGACGCGTTTTTTGCTGCCACATATAAACATTTTCAGCGATCAAATAACTAAAATTTTCAAAGCATTTCTTTAAGAAATGGTTATTGATAGCTAGTCTTGTCTATTTTTTTTAATTGTTTTGAATAGTATAAATAAACAGACGATCGCTGGACTTTAGCGATTCATTGTACTAGCTAATATTAGCATTTTATGGAATAAATGTGTTTACCAAAAGTTGAACTGATTTTAATGCTTCCTTGTCAAACAGAAGAATAGCTTTTTTTAAATGTTTACTCAAAGTCCTTCGACAAGGACTTCAGCATCTAGATTCAAGTAGTTTAAACTTAATCTTTGTTTTAATGTATAGAGATTTTACTCTTCTTGGGCATTTGCATCTGCGTCCAAACTTAATTAGTAAATTTAGTTTATCAAAGCAACATTTCCAGTTTTGAGGAATCGAAAATTTCATAAAGCTCTAAATAAGCGACAACGAACATACTCCTAATCTTCCTTATGATGAAATGTTTTACCATATTTCCTCCCTGCTAATTTTGATTTATGTAAGATCTGTAATATTTAATTATCGGCCCGTTAAGCTGAAGCGATTGAGCCTTTAAAATAATAGTAAGTGAACAATTTACTCGCAAATAACGGTACCCGAACAACAACAAAACAATTATACTCACAAATAAACCCTCGCGGACTCTGCTGGACCACCTTCATGCAGAACGATCCGGGCATATGCGATTCATCGCTGTTGCACTCGATGGCAATGTTCTGCGTTCGGTTGAACGCTTTGTAGGCACCGCAGTTGTCCACCCCCTTGGGATCCGTCTGCGAGGAACACTGATAGCAACGTATGGCGAGCGCTGAATGTATAGGAAAACAAAAACAGGTTCAATTTAGCCGAATGAATTTAAATTAACTGGAAACCCAGGAAATTGAAACTTGCACTCCTTCAGTGCAAGTATGATGGGAGTGGCACCTACGCTGCGATTGTTGATGTTAGTGATACTATTTACGGTTGACGCTACCTGTTTGCCATTGTCATTAAGGTGCCCGCGATGACTAATTTCCCAGTTTTTCGATGACAATATATTACTTACCTGAGCTGAATAACGCAGTCAGAGTAACGAATGATAGCAAAGGGTTCATTTTCGAAACATTAATATTATAAGGACGGTGAGATTCTTAAGGAATTTGGAATGCTCCAGCAGGATCAAAACAAAATGCAATGCGTCGCCATGAATGTTTGTAGTCGTACTGAAGTAAAATGTCAAACAAAGATCAACTGACGGCTATGTCATCGATTGCCATAATTATGGGCAGAGGAAAAGGCCTATCCAGTGCAAATATTAGCTTCTTATTCGACCGATTGGCCTACTGTTATTATAGCAGTTCGGATGGCCGTTACTTTATTCCGCTTTTAAAGTGTATTTTTATACCGCAATCATTGTATACCTAAGCGTATTCTTGCTAGAAGCAAATAAAATAAATCAACTAGAAACGATTTAGTTTTTCATGATACAAATGTATTCTATTATGATAGTGATATGCATTAGTTTGTTTGTTTAAAGGTTTAGCTAATAGTGAAGGGATTGAGTTGAGTAATAACCAGGCTTGATGAAACTCCTCAAACTCAGAGGAGGTTTTAAAATACTCTCGCCCTGCGAGTTAAGGCTGTCCTTGCCTTGAGTGAGTGGCGGCAGGAATATGGAAGAAGTAAACGAAAACTCTCCGAAAGAGAGATGATGAGGCTCCGGATTACTTTCGAGGCTCTGGATTACTTGTTTGTTCAAAACAAGGAGCTCAGAGTTCACTCAGGATGAGAGCGTGTGAAAGAAAACATGGAAATTAATGGCAGCAAACCTCACTCCCGTTTATATCCCCCTTCGCTCACAAGCTGTGAGGCTCGGTGGAGTGAGTGTGAGTAGGAATTATACTCCTCAGAAAAATGCTACGCTCGCCTGATTTCAAGCTTGCTCCAGCAAGCCTGGTTTTAACCCGTGGTAGGCATCGATCCGGGCAATTATGATTGTTTATTTCTTATTTAAAATAACTTTTGATTTTATTGAAATCAGCAAAAGCAGTAAAGCTACCATGCTGGGCACTAGAACTACCGAAGGCACATGTTCCCAGCCACCATTGCAGCCATCCTTACTGTTGCAGGTGCAGTACTCCACAAAGATGTTGTACGTTCCACTACGCATTAAACAATAGCGTTCGTCTCCTCCGATGCCCGGCTCTCCGATAAAGGCACAACTGCGAATGTAGCGCCATTCACCGTGAACTGCAATCAATTATAAACGTTAGACTAAATCGTAGCACAACGTTGGGAATTATGAAAAACTTACAGAATTACCGAATGAATACTCAAAATCTATTGAAATAAACCATAAACTATACACAGCAAAAAATAATGAATATTACATGACGTGTAAACCAAAACCATTTTAAAATTACATCGCTTCAAACTATGTTTTAGTTTAATTTTACATTAAAAATCATGCACATAATAAAAACATGATGAAACTCATAAAATTACACGTTTATTCGATTAATTTTCTCTTGCAGTGTAATATCACCACGCGATGTAAAAACTTATCGGAGAACATCGGATTTTCAACGATAAAACCTATAAATTTACATGCTCGTGTAAATTTAAATCAACAAACATTGAGAAAGCTAATATGGCGGACGGACCGATTATTCCATCAGTTTTTTCTCCACTCGGTTTGTTTTGTTTTGTGCGCTATATTTTGGTTATGTGGAACGATTTATCGTGCATACGCGCATCCACAAATAGAAAATGGATGACAGACAAAATAGTGATTACAGCGGTTTTATACAGAGAGCACTTTTAGTTCGTGCAGAAAATCAAACATTTGGATATGGAAAAATAGAATAACATTCAACAATGCGCTCGTGGTTCTTTTTTTCTCCTGACTGATCGTTTTGATGCAGCGGTGGAAGTGTAGGGTATGTACTGTGCCGTAAAGGCGGGTTATTCTACGTGGGTGATAATTCCGCGTACTTGACAATCAGTTCGATTTTATGCAAATTCGTTCAATAACCCAAATGCGTGTAATTCTAAATGTCCTGTAGAATTACAAAGTGAGCCCATCTAAAGCGATCCATGTAAAATTCAAGAGACGTTTAATTTTACATACATGTACATTTCAAGTCGTGTAAATGTAAAAACCAATTTAATTTTACATGAATATGCATGCTCGTTTTATGTGCATTGAAATTCGTGTAAAATTACAAAATAATTTTAACTGTGTAAATAAGTAAGCAACAAATTAAAAAAATACATAAAATGTAAAATACAGTGTACCTTTCTGCCGAACCTTACGACACAGTGAGGCCTTCACACCGGGTAAATGGTCCAACGATTTCCTGCTGCAGTCCGATAATGGAACTGATTTATTGTCGAATGGATCGCTACATTTTGGATCCAAATCCGAGCGACATTCCCAGCATTTAATGCCGAAAACTGGAATGAAAATGAAGATTTCGTGGGAATTAATCGTTGGCAAATCTAAGCTAGAAACTATCGCCTCACTTTTTTTTTCCTTTGATTTGTTTTCCGTCGATCTTGTTTTCCGTGCTGAGCACCAATGCTACCGACGTGCCAGGAAGGCAGCTCCCACACCTGGACCCTACCTATCGACCCATCAACTCATGAACCGGGGACCAACGGCTTAACTTCCCATCCGAAGGAAGGCGTGATCAGAGATGTTATGCCTCAGAACATCCCGGCGGCGCCTACTGGGATTGAACCCAGGCCTGCTGGGGTGAGAGGTAATCACGCTTACCACTACACGAATCGCCTCACTTGCACCAGATCATTATTTTATTTTTACGGATAGTCTCAGTTCTGTCGAGGCTATTCGCTCCATAAGGCTGGTGAAGCACTCCTCGTATTTTCTCATGAAAATACGAGAGCTTCTAACTGCTTTATCTTTAAGATCCTTTGTCATCACCTTTGCATGGGTCCCATCTCATTTTTCGATTCCGGGTAATGAGAAGGCGGACTCGCTTGCAAAGGTGGGCGCTATGGAAGGCGATATTTACATCAACAAATCGCCAATAACGAATTTTTCCTCATTTATCGTCAACAGTCACTCGCCAGCTGGCAAAATAAATGGAGTGAAGGGAGTTTGGGACGATGGCTATTAGACTGATGCAAAATTTGAGTTTTTCGCTCCACAGTGCTCAAATGGTTTCAAATCGGGTCCTGATTAGCCTCCCAAAGTTACAACTCATTTGGTTGGAAACAGACTTCGCACAAGCCATTTGAAGTTTACATGTAAATTACTATGGGAAATCTCAACTTTTTGTTCATTGCCTTCTAGTCTTTTTCCATATTGAGCTGCGAAACAGTTTGATAGCCATTCTTATAGAAAATTTTCTCAGCTACAACTTTGCCCAAGATCGTTTCTATGTAAAATGAGACATGAAAAAGTTATTAATTATTTAAGCGATTGGTAAACTTATGACATGATCAAGCAGCTGCTCTGTAGGCAACACTGTATTTTGCAGTGTGACATAGTAGCCATGATTTGTGTGTCCTATTCAATGCCCCAGAAACACCAATGTTGCCTGCTGAGCAGTTGATTGAGCATAATCATAAGACATTAGCGCATTGAACCATTGATAACTTTCGATCCTTGCATTTAATCAGAAAGTGGTCTTCAGCAAAGTTGTAGCTGGAAAATTTCCTACAAGTACAGTTGAGAGTTTTTGAAGCAGATCGATATGGTGAATTATTAGATAGACATAAACAAAAATCTTGAGTTTACCATAGTAATTCTCATACAAACTTCAAATGGTTTGTGCCATCTCAGTTTCTCACCAAATGGGTTCAAATGTTGAGAGGTAAGTCAGAATCCGATTTGGAATCGTTTAAGTAGTGTGGAGCGAAAATTTTAAATTTTGCATCACTCTAATGGCTATATTTGATCATCCCTAAGGTGTCGAAGAGTTCTTGGTTCAAAGGATTGGAGGTGGGTTGAGACTTCATTCGTGTGATGTCTCGCCTCATGTCCAATCACTATTCGTTAAATGCTCACTTGTTCCGTGTTGGGCTGGGGGACGGCAATCTCTGTGAATGTGGACAAGGTTACCAAGACGCAGATCACATTATTTGGTCTTGTGCTGAGCATCGTGGAGTCAGGTCTGAGCTATATGATTCCCTTCGGGCTCGAGGTAGACAACCTAATGTTCCAGTCTGTCCAGTGGTCTGTGGGCATGTCGGAAATCATCCCCAATGCGAAGTTGATTGCTGCTAGCTCAGCAACATAAACGGAACAAGGTTCCTGAAGTTTCCGGAAGGCGATTGAGTATTCATTAAAGACACCGAAGCCAGTGGATCCATCTAGTCTGTTTCATGGAGAGATCATAGTCAAAGGCGGAACTGTAGCTAGTAAAGCGTACACGAGGGGGGCTATAGAGCACGGAAGGCTATTGTCCGATGACATATAATTAAGGTAGATTCGCACGAATCTAGACTGGGTGCTCAATCCGAGCATTGCTTCGAAGTTTTCAATCACAAGGTTGTTACTGACACTACATTTGATCAATAGTCTTAATGAGAGCTCCCAGATACGGTTCTGCAGGAGTTTTATGCCCATTAGAACGTCTAGCCTCATATTGTGTGTTTAATGCATACAGCCAAGGGCATTATGTAAACAACGATATTGAATACGTTCCAATTTGATTAGGTGGCTTTTTCTTGCCGCGAGGCATACTCAAGAACTGAAGAAATAGTTGTTTTATATAGTTTAGTAAGGTCTTGGGTAATCACCTCACCATGTCCCGGAAATTAATCGTAGAAAGTTGATCCTTTGTTGACACTTTTGTTTTGTTTTTGAATCAAACCAGACTCCAAGGTATTTGAAGGGCAAAGATTGGGTAATGTCTCTACCCAAAAGATTTAGTCACAGTTGGGCTGGAAACCGCTTTCTTGTAAACACTACCAGTTCAGTTTTGACGTAGGGCTACGTCTATGATTTCTATATGGGGGTACACTTTGTGAAAACCGAAATTGGAACATGTAACAAAATTATGAAAGATTTCGAACGTTAATAACTTAGCTGCCCCTGGACCAGTTTCAATAATTTTTTATCACCAATCGATCAAAAAAATTTCTACGTATCTGCTAGATTTAAGACTTTACCATTTTTCAAAATATCACTATTGAAAATTGATGATCTTCTTCTTCTTCTTCTTCGCATTTCAAGCTTATTGCATATCGCATATTAGCTTATCGCGTGCTCTCAACTTAGTGTTCTAGATGCACTTCCACAGTTATTAATTGAGAGCTTTCGATGCCTGTACCATTTTTGCATTAGTATAATTGTGTGGCAAGTCCAATCATACTTCTATGCCCAGGGAAGTCGAGAAATTTTCCAACCCGAAAAATTCCTAGACCGGACCGGGAATCGAACCCAGCCATGATAATTATTAATTATCACCAATTGCCTGCGAAAAGCGATTTCCCTAACACAGATTTCAAAGTGAAATTCCATCCAGTCTCACCAAACGGTGTTTATTCAATCATCGCGTGGTGAGTGGCGGTGTTCTCCAGTACACGACGAAAGGCTCCCCGCAAGCAGATAGCTATCCAGGCTAACCTCAACCGCTGATCGGATTCAGTTCCAATCACCGTGTGTGGTGGTGTCTGGTCGCCGGCGTCAGCAGCAGCAGTGCTTTCGGCGCGTGGCGTAGAACATTATTCTCCAGTACACAACGAAAGGCTGCCTGCAAACAGCGAGCTGCGGCCCACATTAGCATCCATAGAAGGAGGAAGAAACCGAACCGCTATTGATCGGAATCAGTAGCTCTTTGTGAAGCGCTGTGGTCATACTAAAGAGTATAAACAGAAAGAACCCCGCTCAAATTCCTATTCCTACACAAGCTCCTGCTGCAGTTAACAAATAAGATTTATTATATAAGACCACGTAGTCCTACGTTACCATTGCGCACAACCCCATAGGGCTGTCCCTTGTAGTTTTTTGCGCTGATATCTCGATCCTTAAATTTCTGCCCCAGAAGGAGAGATTGTCTAGGTACACGCATTCTTGTTTGACCTAATTTTGATCATAAAACCCTTTATTTGAAAGCGCCTTTTCCAGAATTGAAATCCCATCGCCAGTGGCGAGAAATTTTCAGGATAAGAGTTATTGTCAGTCAATATACGGAAAGTTTGCATATAACAACGTGTGTTATGATGCACATCTGCGGCGCCGGTGGTGTAGTGGTAAGCGTGTTTGCCTCTCACCCCCAAAAGGCCTGGGTTCAATCCCAGTCGGCGCCGCCGGGATGTTCTGAGGCATAAAACCTCTGATCACGCCTTCCTTCGGAAGGGAAGTAAAGCCATTGATCCCCGGTTCATGAGTTGATGGGTCGATAGGTAGGCTCCAGGTGTGGGGGATCTGCCTCCCTGGCGTCGGTAGCATTAGTACTCAATACGGAAAACAAGATCGGCGGAAAACAAAATCAAGAATTAAAAGAATGAACCACATCTACGATCTAAAATATTAACTACGATGCAAATTTCTTACCGATGGACCCAACTTAACTTTCTCAAGAGAAATCTTAGAAGCAATCTCAAATGAAATCTACCAAATGAATTTTAGAAACATTGCGTCACCTCTTACAACAACATCTTAGCCAAATCAATATGACAATCTGAACACCGGTGCAAACAAAGTATCAATTTAGAATTGATTCTTCCCTGTTCGATTGTGCATCCCGACAGCAGTACTTAACTGGTGTCAGCCACCCAAATGACATGGAGGTAACACGAGTAAGGGTAAAGAGAATAACTTTTAGCAGATTATTCAACTGGTCGGGAGCGCACTTTGTACATCAGATACTTGGATTCGACCAATTCGTCTATATGAATTCTACCAAGGTATTTGCTGTCCTTGGAGTTATCCAACGCAACTCTTAGGGCTTCTGACATGTTTATGCGTTGAAGAACCTCTACTGTGCATGTAGTTCTAGTTTAGACTTCTTACCATGTATTGCTTTGAAAGAGAAATATTGTTCCACTGCGTGCTCAGCTCTCGTTCTGATTTTGCTAGAGCCCTTTATCGCCGGCTACGTTTGAAATGCTGAGTTGCAGAATGAATCACTTATTTTTTAACGCTGCAAGTCAATTCCCAATCAATTATATGATTTCTTCGCCTTATTTCTAGCTTGGACTGTGTATAGAAATTGTTAGAAATAAAGTGCATTTCATACAAGAGATTAGTCTTGTTCTATACATTAAATAAAATATGTAATTCGACAAGTATACGCACCTGTATGGATAAATATGCTGATAAAAAATACTCCAAGAGCTATTCTAAGCACCAGGAACATTTTAAACGTTCACTAATGAGTTAAATATTCAACATCAATGTAAATATTACCAAATAAAGCATTTCTGTATCACTTGAAAACCACTTTGTTCCAAACAAATAGATTTTCTGCAAGTAAATGCTATAAACGGAATGTCAGATCTGTTTCAATAAATTAAACCACCATAATCCAACCCCCTTTTTCTACAAAGAGCAACAAGTGTGTTTATAGGAGCTATTCCTGTTTGTAAACAGATTCGAAAATGAAAGCATGGTGAACTGGAATTTCTTTTCCTACATGTTTCAATTAACATTTGTCAACTACGAAAATACTCGATTTATTAGGCACTACTGTAAATGCACAATACTTTTAATATTTACACTTGCTGCTGGACCTAAAAATTTAGCTTCTATTTTTTTAATATGTATAAATCTATGTCGATTTTTTTTTTTTGTGTATAAGAAACGTTCTTAAGTTCACTTCTGGACGGATTCGTAACTTTTGAGAATATCTTTAAACGATTGAAACGATACCTAGAAAATACTAGAATAGTTTCGAAAAATGGCTAACGATCGTAAACAGATCATAAGAATCTAAAAAATAAAATTAAGAGGTATTTAAAAATAGAATGCTTTTTTGCTCAAAATCTATAAAAAGGTGCTCGGACAGTACTGTTGAGGAGAGGTACTAAATCAAACGATACAAAAAAATACTCAGCACCGCAAGCGCCGCCAAACTCCACTGCTTTGGGGCAAACATTGGAGCACTGTTACATCCATCCTTGCTGTTGCAGGTGCAATATTCCATGAAGATATTGTAGGTTCCACTCCGCATCAGACAGAAGCGTTCGTCTCCTTCGATGCCAGGCTCACCCATGAAAGCACAACTGCGGAAGTAACGCCATTCTCCATGGACTAGAAAATCAAACAGAATTAGACTTGAACTATCACAAACCGACCGATCAAACGCCGCACCTTTTTGCCGGATCTTTCGGCACATGGTTGCCCTCACTCCGGGAAGATGTTCCTTCGATTCGACCTGCCTGCAGTCCGTGATCGAGAGGGTGCTGTTGTCGAATGGGTCGGCACATTTCGGATCGGAATCCGAACGACATTCCCAACATTTTATGCTGTAGCCTGAAATTGTGGAAACACACGATCATTATTCAGCCCATTGTGACAATTGCCTCGATCAATGCTTCATTATGTGGCTGCCTGCTACAGTATCAATATAACCTAACTGATCATTCACAAAATAAGGAAGTGTTAAAATAACTTGAAGACAATCCTACGATTGGTAACGGAAAATAAAAATGAAACATTTTTTGCGGCCTAATCGTTATAGGTAGAATATTTTGTATGAGCCATCTTTTGCTAACCGCTTCGGAACAGGACATGATCAATTGATCATCGCAGCATACACACCCATTTGTACAGCGACGGTGATAAACACTATTCCAAAAGTGATCAAATACGTTGATTTTATTGCCATTTTCTCACGTTTTGTGTAACTTTTCGACACCAATTACACTATTTATCAATAAGCGATATTTGAGTTCGATTATTTAATGTAAAACTATGCACAAATCAAACTTTACATCTAAGAAGAAGCGACGAACGCTGCTTCTACCGTGCTTCCACTTCTTGTCTTTGGATGTATTAATGATCATATCCATTAAGCCATTAAGCTTCATGCGAGGCATCAGACGAATGCCATAAACAAAACGTCAAACCCGCTTCAAAGTTTGTTTGTTTGTGTTCAATACTGAAACCGCACCCATCCACTAATATGCAACAGGTAGGTGGGTTCCAGTTTGATTTGTTGTTTCTTTTGCTGACCCCTCGGGTAGAGGTTTACGTCTAGGGTGCAAAATTCTGGAAAAGGCCCTTTATGATCGAACTGCAAGAAACGGTTGAGTTGGTGTGCTTTTAGGGTGCATCACAAAAAAATTAGAATCATTGTAGCCACCTCCAACTCGACTCGTAGCCATAGAATAAGATTATGCTAACAATTGTAAAGGTCCGTTTAGACTGTCTGATTTCTTGGTCTGATTTTGATCGCCGCCATAATGAAAAATCTGCTCGATTTTACTTTCGACACACTTTGTCGAACCTCCTTGTTTGTTGGCGTTCACACTGCTTGCACATGTCGAAAGAACTGTTAATTTAAATTTCAAAACAAAATTGTATCAGAAATCAAAAGTAAATACTTCCGCAAAGGCGCATTTGCTTTTATTATTTTAAATAAAATGAGAAGGAGAAGGTAAACTTTGTGGAGTAGGAAATGGTTGCTCAGGGGGAACACCGGCAGGGATCTGGCTCATCTTGTCCTTCAAGAATTGCGATTTGAAGACGAAAAAGGATTTCAAAACTTCGCCAGGATGTGGATACCAACTTTCGACAAACTAGTGGGAAAAGTTCTCTATAAATCCACATGGTTCCTTGAGTTCTGAAAATTTATGTTAAGATCTCCATTCTACATATTTCTCTGAAGACCTTCGGACGTTACTGAAGTTTTGTTTCTGTTCTCTGGAAAAATATCTTTGAAGATCAAAAAACCTTCCTGAAGATCTGCAAATTTCTCGGTAGTTCTGCAGATTTCTTAGAAGTCCTGTGTGTTCTTCAGAAGTTCTGTAAAATTCTCTAAAAATCTACAAAGTTCCTGACGCCATGCAGATTTAAGATCTTTAAATATCTCTGATCTTCACTTAATTTCTAATAATCTACGAACTCCTTCAGAGTTCCGTAATTTTCTCCGTAGATTTTCATGATTTAATAAATATCTGCAAGGAAGTTCTCTGAAGATCAATATTTTTTTCTGAAGTTGTGCAAATATCTCTAAAGATCAGCCGGAAATTAACTAGCCTACGGCTTAAAATCTCCTAAATAAAGGAAGAAAATAAAATCTAATGGTTAGCGAATTTCCCTCAAGTTCTGTAAATTTCTCTTAAAATCCAAGAACCTCAATAAAATTCTGAAAATTTATTTAAACATCTGCACATTTTTCAGTAGTTTTGCCATCATCCTTCTAAACTTTTCTTAAGTTCCTTAAATGTCTTAAAAATTATGTAAAGTTGTATTTCTGCTCTGAAGATCTACGAACTGCCCTGAAGTTCAATAAATTTCTCAGTAGATCTCCGAACTTCTCTAAAGTTCTGTAAATTTCTTGGACTTCCATAAAATTCTGAAAGTTGTCGTTCTGAAGTTCTAAAAACATCTCTTAAGGTCTACGGATTTCTCTGAAGTTCTTCAGATCTATCTGTTTCCAACTTCCATGGACATTCCTAGTTGAGCATTCAGTCGGTTAATATCGTCCCGGTTTCAGTTGCGCGGCATCTAGTTTTTTTCGGTATTTTTTCCGCCCGAGCGGTTTTTTTCACCCCCCCATTGGGTGCCCCAAGTGACCAGTGTCCAACAGAGGAAGTGGAATTCCATCGGCCGAGCCCCTTGGAGTTACCATCCAGCTTTAATTTATCCCGGTAATCCATCACCGGAGTTAACGGCGTCGTCAAGTCCATCATTTTTTCACGCCGTCGCGAGGGTGTGCAAGTGATAGTGAAGCGTGTCGTATCACCAGCTTGCCGACCCACCAACACCAACCATCACCACCGGATAGCAGCGTGGACCAACACCAACGCACCACGTGATAGCAGCGTTTCCACACACACGCTTTGTGCCGGTGTAGTTAAGTAGCGAATAAGTTTTATTTATTGCCCCTTTGTTTTAGTTTCCCCTTTCTCCCATCCCACGCAAATATTTTCTTCTTCTTCTTCTTTTTCTCTTGTCCCTGTGTGTTCCCTGTGTGTAGTTGTTTTGTATCTATTGCGGTGGCAGTTGCCCCGCAATGGATGGTAATAGTGATGGCGGGGGGAATACCCTTCCTGCCCTTCCCACTGAAGACGAACTGTCCGACGTGGAAACGACAGCCACGGTGAAGAAGTACACCGGAACCATCCCGTACCGCCTACCCCATCTCCTCCTACCCCGCCTAATCCATCGCCACCAACACCACCAGCACCGTCACCCCCCGCACCACCAAACCCGTTTCCCCCTACCCCGCCTAATCCCTCTCCCCCCACACCGACAAAACCGTCTCCCCGCCAAGTACTCCGCCTAACCCCGCCAAGAAAACAAAAACTGCCCCCCGCCATAAGTCATACCCAGACGCCTCGACAGGCCCATGGGTTGTTTTTTTCCGACCCAAACAAAAACCGCTTAACGTTAACCAGATCGAAAAAGATCTATTCAAACGTTTCTCGTCAGTGACCGACATTTTGAAGGTGAGGCCAGACAAACTGCGCGTCACTGTTGGTAACCGCAAGCAGGCGAATGAGATTGTTGCCTGCGAGCTTTTTACGTTAGAGTACCGCGTTTACATTCCCAGTCGTGACGTGGAAATCGAAGGAGTGGTCACCGAAGCGAGTTTGACCTGCGATGACTTCTTGAAGAGGGGGGTTGGTGTCTTCAAGAACGCCGTTCTTCCAGAAGTCAAGATTCTTGACTGCACCCAAATGCAGTCAGCATCCCTCGACGGGACAAAAAAAATCTACTCGCTGACTGACTCGTTTCGAGTGACTTTCTCCGGATCGACTCTGCCGGATTACGTCCGAATTGGGAGGATTCGACTTCCTGTGCGGTTGTTTATACCAAGGGTGATGAACTGCACCAAGTGCAAACAATTAGGCCACACCGCCGCCTTCTGCGGCAACAAGCCACGATGCGATCAGTGCGGCGAGAAGCATGCGGAGGGTGCTTGTGGTGCTCCTCCTAAATGTGTTTATTGTTTGGCACCTCCGCATCCTCTCGCAGATTGCCCGAAGTATAAACAGCAAGGAAAAAAACTTGAACGGTCTCTGAAGGCGCGCTCTCAGCGTTCCTTTGCGGAGATCTTGAAGACTTTCAATCCTCCTCCCAAAATCACTCCGGAAAAAGAAAACAATAATCCGTTCAATCTTCTCCCAGTTGACGAGGACGACACTGACTCAGAGGGCAATGACGGAAGTCCTTTTGTTTTCAAAGGTCCTTCAAGGAAGCGATCCAAGAATGACTCGCAGAAAACTAAAAAAACTGACTCTCAAGCCCCCTTGGATAAATCAAGAGGTCACGGAAATAAACCGAAACCCAATCCACCGGGTTTTAAGCCTGTCGATTATGACAAAGAATTTCCGGGGCTTCCGGGAACATCTAAAACCCCAGATGTCCCAGTTTTGCAACCAGAACAGCAGAACGCCATGTTCACGCTTTCTGGAATTGTGGACAGCATTCTCGATCTGTTCAACATCACTGACCCTCTTCGGAGCATCATTAACATGATGCTTCCAATCGTGAAACCTTTTCTGAAGCAATTTGCTTCCAAGTGGCCCCTCCTTGCTTCATTCGTATCCTTCGATGGATAATTTTCCAAAAAATGATACGGTATCTCTCCTTCAATCGAATTGTAGAAGCATTTTACCAAAACTAGACATATTCAAATTTTTACTGCATAACATACACTGTGATGCGTTTGCTCTCTGCGAAACATGGCTCTCTCCAGATGTTAACCTTTCTCTTCACGACTGCAACATTATCCGTCTCGATCGTGCAGATTCGTACGGTGGGGTGCTCCTAGGGGTCAACAAACAACACTCATTCTACAGAATCGACCTTCCTCCAGTGTCAGGTATTGAAATTGTCGCATGTCAGGTGAATATTAGAGGTAAAACCTTCAGTATTGCCTCGTTATACATCCCTCCGAGAACGGCTGTTTCTCGGCGAGCGCTATCTGACATCTGCTCAGTGCTACCTGAGCCGCGGTTGATCTTAGGGGATTTTAATTCCCACGGTACAGGCTGGGGAGAGCTGTACGATGACAACCGTTCAACCATCATCTATGACGTATGCGACGATTTCAATATGACCATTCTAAACACCGGTGAAGTAACTCGAATAGCCAAACCTCCAGCAAGAGAGAGCAGACTAGACTTGTCACTCTGTTCGAACTCACTATCATTGGATTGCATGTGGGAGGTAATCCAAGACCCCTATGGTAGTGATCATTTGCCCATCAAAATTTCGATTTCCAACGGTTCATCTTCACAGTGTCCAATCAACATCGCGTACGATCTCACGAGAAACATCAATTGGGAAGAATACGCGAACGCGGTCCGTGACGGTTCAGAATCGGTCGACGTTCTCTCTCCATTGGATGAGTACTCCTTCCTATCGCGGCTCATAGTGGATTGCGCGCTTCAAGCACAAACGAAGCCTGTTCCTGGCACTACCATTCGCAAACGTCCTCCCACTGTGTGGTGGGACCAGGAATGCACCGACGTGAATAAAGAGAAGTCTACCGCGTTTAAACAGTTTCGTAAATACGGTTCCCGCGAATACTTTGAGCGGTATACGGAGCTAGAGGAAAAGTTTAAGAGCTTGGTCAGGGCCAAAAAACGCGGTTACTGGCGTCGGTTCGTCGAAGGGCTATCGCGAGAGACTTCCATGCAAACGCTCTGGAATGTCGGCAGGAGAATGCGTAACGCGGCATCGTCGGTCAACGAGGGCAAGGAGTACTCTAACAAGTGGATTTTCGACTTCGCGCGTAAGGTTTGTCCCGATTCGGTTCCGGTCCGATGCAACACTCGCGATCCGCCGCTGGAAAACGATGACATGGACTCCCCGTTT